CAGCATGTTCTATCACAGCATGTTCTATCACAGCATGTTCTATCACAACATGTTCTATCACAGCATGCTCTATCACAACATGTTCACAGCATGTTCTATCACAGCATGTTCTATCACAGCATGTTCTATCACAGCATGTTCTATCACAGCATGCTCTATCACAGCATGTTCTATCACAGCATGTTCACAGCATGTTCTCTCACAACATGTTCACAGCATGTTCTATCACAACATGTTCTATCACAGCATGCTCTATCACATGTTCACAGCATGTTCTATCACAGTATGTTCTATCACAGCATGTTCTATCACAGCATGTTCACAGCATGTTCTATCACAACATGTTCACAGCATGCTCTATCGCAGCATGCTCTGTCACAGCATGTTCTATCACAGCATGCTCTATCACAGCATGTTCTATCACAGCTGGATTAGGTAGAAAAGTTATTTACAGGAAGAACCCTGACATTAAGTCAGGTAAATAAGATCTAGTGGAGTAGACCATGTCCACACGACTACGTCTCCATTTTAAAACGCATATCTTTTGTTACGTTTACACCGAAAACGGATACGTTTGAGAACTCCGGGGTTACCTCCTAGTGTGGACGGTCGTAAACGCATACATTTATAGACGATGACGTAGATGCCCGTGTTCACTACTTAATTGGTTCTTAGCAGTCATGACGTGTCCTTCCCTGATTCGTCACGCTGTTAATAACTAACTATTGAGAAGTTCACATAGAAACGGTAAAGGAAGAAAAGCATCATGTACTCCAGCACGAGTGAGACTTCAGCCTCCAGCAGAGCCACGAGTTTATTTTATTTAACTAAGCAACCAATCTACTTCCTGTTTACAGCGGCACCATCACGCTTTCACCATTCATGATGATGCAGATTTGTAAAAAGTTTGAATTCATGTTTAGTTAGTTCCCTCCTCAAGACGACAAACAAACAACTTTTAAAATACTTGTTTTCTGAATGGAGTTTGGTTTGATCGGTGCTAGGCTAAGCTAACATTGTAGCAGCTCCATCAACACTCAACATAACGTCATCTAGGCGTGAATACGGCAGCGTCTATTCATTGTTTGTACCGTCTGGTTTACACACACAGTTTTGTCTGGTCTCCACTAATATGAGGTATCGTAGAGATCTGAACACCTACAGCATTTATTTTGTAATCTAGTCGCGTGAACACACCTTCAGTGAACGTCCAGGAAACAGCTATCAACGTGTTGTTTAAACAATAAAATATAAAACTTCTTATTTGCAGCGTCCATGTTGTCTCCACATCACAACGAAGTCTGAAGAACGACTTCCCAAACGGGACCTGAATGCACCATGGAACACCTGAAGTCTCCAGCAGAGGGAGGCTGCCCCCCCCCCCTCCTCACCTGTCCGTAGTTCATCTCCTGGTTTTGTTTCTCCTGGATGGCGGCGACGGTTGCCGTGGCGGTGGCCGTTGCGGTGGCGGCGGCGGCAGCGACGGCAGCGGCAGCAGCAGCCTGAGTGAAGTCAGAACCTCTGGATCCACCGGCGTTAGACGGGTAGCTGAGAATCATTTGAGAGTTCAATCACAATCTGCAGTCTGCGTGAGACCACATCAGGCTACTTTAATCTATCTGTTCTCTGCTGTAACTCACCGCTAAAGATAAAAGTTACTGTTTCAAATGTGATGCACTAAAGTAATGTTTACACTTTGAAATAAATGGATTTATAAAATAAAATAAATAAAAACAGTTTTGCTATTTTTTCTGGAATGTTTTGAAGAAGTTAAACATCAAGGTGGTGCAAAATACAATATTACAAAGGTGTTACGACTTCACACTAAACTAAAACACTAACAACTAAAGCAGAGGAAAGGACCCTGACCTGCTGGAGTACCCCCCCGGTCCTCCTCCGTAGCCCCCGGGGGTGCGGCCGTACATGCCCTGGTTCATGTAGCCTTTGCTGGGCTCCCCGTAGCCCTGCTGACCCATGTAGCCTCCGGGCCCTCCGGACATGCCCGGACCCCCGGGGCCCTGCATCATGGGGCCCTGCATCATGGGGCCCCCTCCTTGGTTGGCTCCGGGCCCCATCACCCCTCCACCCATTCCCTGACGGACACACGGTAACACACACGTCTGTTTCAACAGTTCAACAGAACTCAATGAAGAGTTCATCAATCAATGCTTCCTGGTTAGTGATGTCATACCTGGCTGGCCGAGGGATTGGTCACTCCCCAGACGGTGGTTACCACGGAGAGGGATCCTGTGGGCTGATTGGTGGGCTGCTGCCAGCTGGAGGGGTCGTAGGGGTACGAACCCTCACTGCGCGCGCGCACACACGCACACACGCACACACAGAGAGCGAGAGACACACACAAACACAATTATACAACTATACACACACAAAGGGAGTCAGTGTGTGTCACATTTAAATTATATTATAATTAAGACTTTGATAAGAGATCAATCGATTCAATCAGTATCAGAAGTACGTGTGTGTGTGTGAGTACCTGTGTGGGTTGTTGCCCAGTCCACCCTTCATCTGGTTCAGAGGGTTCATGGTGGGAGGGTGGGGGGGGCACAGACAGAGAGACAAACTCCTGGAGAGACAGACAGATAGTGGATTAATTATCTGAACTACATTTCCCATCATGCCGCAAAATAAATTATAAAAAGATAAACACTGACAATCTGTTATTGTTGTGATTTCTGCCAAACTACATTGAAAAACATTTCAATTTGAAGATGCACCAAGAACACAATGCCCACAATGCATTGCGGGGCGATCAGATCAGAGTTCACTTCTTTTACAATCACTGTAATCATCTGACGCTTACTCTGATTATGGATCATTTTAAATTTATATTTTACTCTATAAAATGTGGAAATGTTTTCAGATTAAACCAACGGACTAAATATCCAAAGTTTATCTGATTCACTACCCGCTCGGGTACTCTGCCCTCTACCCGCTCGGGTACTCTGCCCTCTACCCGCTCGGGTACTCTGCCCTCTACCCGCTCGGGTACTCTGTTAAATAACCAATAACTCATTTAAACTGTGATAAACATTCAGCTTCCAGATGATTCAACATTCCTGGATGTAACTGTGTCATTAAACGTATCATCACACTGTTATTTGGATGATTAAACATCGCAGTAAAGATCTCACAATACTGCAGTATTTACTTTGACTGAAGGATCAGAATACTCCAGGTGAAAGAGTACTGCGGTTTAAAGTACTTCACTTTTAAAATCACGGATCAGTCTCACGTTTAACGACGAATCGTTTTGAATTCTTTCCTCCTCCTTAGCAGCAGCTGAGGCTCATGGGAATTGTAGTATTTAAAGACAGATGTATCAGAAACAAAGCGTAAATACACCAACCAGGTGGTCAGAATATAAAGATAGAAATGGAAACGTACATAACGGTTAAGTTCAGACTTCAGTTGTTGGTGGTTGATTAAATAACCCTAGAAGTACTACTTGTTGAGTATATTCACATTAAAGTATTAAAATAAAATCGTGAACAGTTCAGTTTGATTACTCACCACTCTGTTGGTTTATGTTTCTACTGTTTCAACATCAAAACAATCCAGAGTGATGCTTCTTCCTCCAATCAACAGAACAAGCAGCTCACAGAGTGACTTATCTACAGCGCAGTCACTCTACCGGAGCTTTCGACCGGTACAATGACTGGTCTTCATCTTGGAGGTCTTCGGTGTCTCTGAGAGGAAGAGCAACCGACAACACGCCTGTATCAGTGCTGGGCGTGTCACTGCTGATAAAGGTCACATTTAATTGGCAGATTTGTGAATGGACTTTGGTATGACGCTCAGTACAAGACAGAAAAACAGGAAATATTCTACTTCATCAGGTGGAGCTGCAAGGACTCTGTATACTACTCACTTAAATATATATATATATATATATATATATATATATGGTCAGAATATAAAGATAGAAATGGAAACGTACATAACGAGGTTAAGTTCAGACTTCAGTTGTTGGTGGTTTATTAAATAACCCTAGAAGTACTACTATATATATTATTTTTTTTACAACATATTTTTGGTATTTCAATTAAATACCATTTGTGGGTATTTTTTAAAATACAAATTACACTTATATGTTTACACTTTTGAAAGGCACTTTAGTAATATTATATTAAATTAAAATACAAAAAAACTATAATAAACATGTGTCAAACTGTGTATTTAAGTGAATAAACTAAAGTCAGTGTCTGGCCTTCAAACTACCAACCTCTCGTTCTGTTATAATGTTATGACTAACATATAAATAATAACAACAACGAGATAACCCGTTTGTTGTTATCTCGTCCTTCGTGTCTCCGTATCGTTGAAGTGAAAACCCTCAAGAACAAAATGAGAGAGTCAGAGGAGACATTTTGAGATTCCTTGTAGTGTTGCAACCAGGTAGAAGCTAATGCTAACGAGCTAATGCTAACCAGCTAACAGACAGCTCCCTGCTCTCACGGGGGAAATGAGGCTGTAGGTTAGCTCCGCTGTTAGCATTAGCATGCTAACGAGACGACAACAACCCACCGCGTCTAAAACAAACAGACTACAATAACCCACCAAACACGGCCACTCGAGAGGACACGGAGTCCGACACTTCAAACGTCCAATGTTAAGCGTCACATTTACCACGTTCCTTGAGAATATATCACTATTTTGACAGCAAGCTAGCCGGTTAGCCTAGCTAGCTAGCACCAACGGGCTGTGACAATGGAATGCTACGAGGCTAACGGTTAGCCTTCAGCTAGCTTTCTTCCTCCACAACACAAAACACTAATGTTAGACAACACGTGGCTCCACACGGAGCAGCCCGGTCCGGGTTTTGATGCTCGGTACGTTCATGTTAATTTAGATAATGGGAGTGTACCTCAACCCAGGAGTCGTGGGTTTAAGTCCCTGCCGCCGGCCTCTGCGTCTGAATATCCGGATACAGGAGGCGACACCATCCCCCGAAGCTCCAGGGTCCTTAAAGTAGAAATAGATAAAGAGTCTCACATCAACGACTGAGCGGCTCGGTCGGCTGGACTCTAACGGGAGATCCGCTAGGTTTCATCCGCACCGCTAGAGGTGGAGGAATCAGACAGACAGGAGGGGGGGCAGGTCTGAGAGAGGGAGGAGGGGAGGGAGAGAGAGAGACACATACACAGAGAGAGAGACAGAGAGACACCTACAGAGAGAGAGAGACAGACAGACAGACAAACAGAGAGAGAGAGAGACGCCTACATAGACTGGTCTCAGTCCCTGGTCTCAGTCCCTGGTCTCAGTCCCTGGTCTCCTTCCCTGCTCTCCGTCCCTGGTCTCTATACCCTGGTCTCCGTCCCTGGTCTCCTTCCCTGGTCTCTATACCCTGGTCTCCGTCCCTGGTCTCCTTCCCTGGTCGCTGTCCCTGGTCTCCTTCCCTGGTGTCCGTCCCTGGTGTCCGTCCCTGGTCACCTTCTGTGGTCTCTATACCCTGGTGTCCGTCCCTGGTCTCCTTCCCTGCTCTCTGTCTCTGGTGTCCGTCCCTGCTCTCCGTCCCTGGTCTCTATACCCTGGTCTCTATTCCCTGGTCTCCGTCCCTGGTCTCCTTCCCTGCTCTCTGTCTCTGGTGTCCGTCCCTGCTCTCTGTCCCTGGTGTCCGTCCCTGGTCACCTTCTGTGGTCTCTATACCCTGGTCTCCATCCCTGGTCTCTGTTTTTACCTTTAAAAATAGACACAAAGCATGACAGGAAGTAGGAATATTTCAAAATAAAAGTCAAGGCAATATAAATTCTTCTCTAGTCTGTGATGAAGACACATACCAGAGGAGTAAAGTACATGACTGAATATAAATGAATAAAGGTGGTAGATGGAGGGTGTTAGCAACAGTAAACATGCAGTGTAATATGTATTTATCATGTACTCATCAAGAATCTAGCTTTCTATGAATGTGAGGATTGTTTGATGTGATACAGTTCATCATATAGTTGAATTAAAGTCATGTTGTGTTCACAGAGTTGTTGCTGTTACCACTGATACTTATGTCTCCACATGTTGTTTTAGTGAACTCAGAGCTCAGACTGTAGAAGTTAAAGTGTTTCACATCTCTACCACTAGATGGCAGTACACGTGTATTTAAAGCACAGATTTACTCGTTTACCTCTTCTTTGTTCATGATCCAGGTTATTGATACACATGTATTTAATGATGTTTATTTCATCTCACACTTCATGTTCATGGTTAACTTGTAACCTAGTTATAAACATCATGTATTTACTTGTTATTTTGCTTTATTCTTATTAAACATGATGCATAATTTAACGACCTCATTGGTGTATTTATCCTGATTGAATGGTTGAACAGAAGAGGTCAAAGGGCCACAATGAGAAGATATAATGTTGGTCAAATACAGAAAGTTTGATTCTAGAAAATGTTCAATTATTTTTCCTAATCTCACAAGACAAGAACACAAACCAGATGAATTGGTTCTCTTTGCTTCGTTGAACGTTCTTTACCCTCCACACCTTCTAGCTACGTGAACGTTAGATTTCATAGGAATGTTTGTGTCTCTGTTCAGTGCCTTTGATGAATCGGCTTTAATTACTCACAGCTCAGTGAGACGGTTGTTTCATTTGCTAACTGGGGAATGATTAGCGGTTTATAAACATGCTTGTTCGCTGTGTAATTATAGACTGTGTATTGTTAGCAGAGAAAATATGAATAACTCGTACAAATACAACCCATTCTGCTCTCAGAGCATACTTAATGTTTAAAAATCAATAATCTCTCTCTGGAAAACACGTTTACTTTATACAAATGTGAAATTGACAGAATTTGAATAGGAAAGTAATATGTACAGCTCTATAGCAAATAATAAGTGAGATAAGCACAATAATTATATATTTACTTATTTTTTATTCTAATGAATCGGTTATCAGATGTTGCACTGAATGTGGGTGAACCAGAGCTCCCGGTGAAAAACCCTGACCCACCTCACAGTAGGCGTCACAGACTCACAAAGGCTCCGAGGTCGCCCCGCGGACCTCTGACAAGAGTTTTTTTTCTTTGAGTGAATGAAGTTGATATTCACTGAGAGCAGGTAAAACCGGAGCCCCCGGAGTAAACCGTACCTTACCTCCACCTACTCAACACCACGTCCACAAATGCAGATGTTGGAGAAGGCTCTGCGTGAGTGAGTATTGATTCAGAGCTCTACAGTGCAGTAAGTAATACTCTACTTTCAGGAGCCCCACAGACAGAGGGGGAGAGGCTGTAGTAGGACTGCTGCCACCTGGTGGTGGGACACAAGTATGGATGCTGACAATAAGTCCACCAGCCTCACAGGAAGAGGACGAGAGGCAGAGACCAGGGACAGGGGACAGGGGACAGAGACCAGAGACCAGAAACAGACGTCGCTTCAGGTGACGCAACTGAGGAAAGGACGTCTCTTATCTCGTTTCCTCTCTCCTTGCGTGACGGCCCCTCCCTTCCTGTTTCCTCTTTCCTCTTTAGTTTCACTTCTGGAGCTCGTGGTGTCGCAGCTTCTTCTTCTCTGCTTCTAAAGGTTAGTGAGCGACTCTTCTCACTGAGGGACTCTCGGAGGACTCTTTGGTCAAAGTCACGTTTGAGTTCAGTCTCGCTAGAAGAAGTTACAGAAATACTTGATGTTTTTCTTCAGTCAGCTGAACACAAATGGATTTAAAGCGAAGTTTAGTATGTACAGTATGACGCCATCGTCCGCCCTAACGCTACCGCACATCACTCCAAGGAGTACTTCCGGGCCGGATTTCAAAGTAAAGGATCGCGTGAGTTATTTGTGATTAAGGAACAAAGAGTAATTTAAGATCCTGTTATTTATTATTATTAAGACTACAGTCAGATATAATATGAAGTACTTTACTGTGTACTCTTTGAATAATAAGATTCATTATTTTTGTCTAACTTTAATGATTCACAAAGTACACAGTAAAGTACTTCATACTAGTACTGACTGTAGTCTAAATAGTACTGAGTCCTAATAATAGGATCTTAAATTACTCTTCTGTTTCTTAATCCCAAATAACGTAAACTAAAAGACACGCGATCCTTTACTTTGAAATCCGCACCGGAAGTACTCCTTGGAGGGATGTACGGTAGCTTTAGAGCGGACGATGACGTCATACTGTACCTATGAAACTTCATTTAGATTTAGAGGAGCTATTGTTCTTCTGATGTTTATTATGATTATCATGATTATTAGGGCCCGAGCACCGACGTAGTCGGAGCGGAGGACCTATTGTTATTCGATTGTTTATTATTATTCTTATTCTTAGTGTTTCGTCGCAAAAAGGAGGCGCTTGGGATACTGGCAAAATGTCGAAATTTGGCACGCAAGCCAGAATTTGCGCAAATTGCAGTCTGATTGGGGTGTCCAGCTGCGGTATTTCGATCCTTCGCCATGAAGAAATAAACTGATGTAACTCGACTCCACATCATCAGATCTTCACCAGATTGCACATGTCTGATTAGACTCCAGTCCTGAAGACATCTACAGGCCAATTTTGAATCATAGTCATAGCGCCACCTACTGGTAACAGGAAGTTAAAGGCTTTATACTTTGGCTTGTTTCTCTTAGTAGGTAAATCAAATCAATATCAAATTACTTCCACACAAATGTAAGAAGTTCATAATACCAGTTCATGAAGCTTTTGATGTTTCGTCGAACGCCGTTGCCATGGCGACGCAGTCTTCGCCTTAACAATGAAGGTAATTTTGAGAGGCTAAAAATGCTCGAAACATAAACAAACTTGGCACACAGATTTAAAACCCGAAATGTAGTTATAAAATATGATTTTATTGGTACAGAGTGGCAAATCGGCTCAATAGCGCCCCCTACACAATTTCGACGAAGCAGCCCTCGCAGTATGTTTGACCTAGATGTATGAAATTTGGTAGGAACATGTATCACATGTGGACTTAAATAAAAGTCTCTTGGGGCCATGCTCTAAACCCAACCGGAAGTCAGCCATTTTGAATTTTTTATGAATTTCTAGTGTTGTTTTTGTCATTTCCAGGTGCTGCACTCTAACGAACTCCTCCTAGGGAATTAATCGAATCGACTTCAAATTTGGTCGGTACAGTCTAAAGAGCTTTGTGATGAAAAGTTACTCAAAGCTTGTTGTTTCGTGAAAAGCTGTTGCCGTAGCAACGCATTCTTCACCATGAAAGATTAAGGTGTTTTTGAGAGGCTAGAAATGCTCGAAGCATAAACAAACTTGTCACACACATTTAAAATCCTGAATGTAGTTATCTGATGTGATTTTATTGGTTCAGAGTGGCAAGTCGGCTCGATAGCGCCCCCTACAATATTTCAACGATGCAGCCCTCGCAGTACGTTTCACATATATTTACAAAATTTGCTAAGCAGATGTATCACATGTGGACTTAAAAAAAAGTCTTAGGGGTCTAAGCTCTAAACCCAACCCGAAGTCAGCCATTTTGAATTTTGTATGAATTTCTCGTGGTTCTCTTCCATTTCCAGGTGCTGTACTACGAACTCCTCCTAGGGAATTAATCCGATCAGTTTAGAATGTTTCGCCATCATCCATCAAGCTGTTGTAACTCGACTGTACTTTGTCAAAACTGTCCCAAACTTGACATGCTTGTTGACTGTCATGGCTTTAGGACTTCTGCATGCCAATATTAACTCATTGTCATAGCGCCACCTACTGATGACCATGGCTGTAAGCAGGATTCTATAATTACAGCGGCCCCAACACTGAACTTATTGAAAGGGTTTGTGGGCACACCATGAGAAAAAGACTTCTCTGATCTAAATATGTGCAAACTAAGATGCTTGGAGAGCAAACGTTAGATAACAGTGGATTCTCAAACCATGTCAGTGGGCATTAGTATTAATGATCTGTCCAGAGCTTCTTCATGACAATCAGGTTAAACGTTACAATGAATGCTTCACACTACAATCTAAAGTTACAGAAGAACTTAAAATGAAAACCGTGTTAAATTAAAGTGTTCAAGTAACAGCAAATGGCACTACTGTTTT